TTTTATGGATGGCGACGCTGACCGAAGCACCATGGTCCAACAGCTTTGATTGAATGCGTTATACCTAAACCCACTCGGTTTATCATTAAGTTAATGAAGACTCAATGACTTGTGTAATATTATAGTTCATTCATTTTTGTCATCAGGTGCGAGGGCAGTTGTCAGAATCCATGCGAAGATTTCGACTGAAGGTGAAGGCCAGAGACAATCGCAGACAGAGTACGACCAGCATAACCTTGGCCTCGTTGGGTCCCAGAAGATCCCTGTCGTCATTGACTATCGAAGGTCGACGGTTCACTACATGCCACGGAGAGTTGGTTTATTCGACAGACAGTGCGAACAGCACACCGAAAGACCAGAAGTCTGATAGGGCCATGGCCCCTGGTGTCCCTTGTTTGGCGGAAGGACCAGGATCAAATAATATACAACTGGACAACGAGAACACCGAGGCAAGATGCTGTGTTACGAACACAGTCAGTGCTGAGACGGACGACTGCGAGTATTGCGGTGATAGTTCAAACACCAGCGATTGTGCTGGGACAAAAGATACAAGTTCACAGACTGATTTGTCTATTTTAGAAAACCAAAGTACAAATGAGGGGAGCCACGGACAGTTAGTTATGTCTAAAAGCAAAAATGTAAAGATATCATTTTACTTATCTGATGATGACGGAAAAGACACCGATTCGTAAATGTTAAGAAAGCACATAATGATACGTTGTTGTGGAAAAGATCGATTTCTTCTACACCCAGGAATTGATTTTACTCCATGTTGAGAAGGCCAGTGTGTTTGCTTTTGAGAATAATAAAGTACGTCTGCATACAGATGGCCACACAGGACAGGAACATATCGAGAAACAAATGCAGTGTCATGCTAAAACGTAATGGTATTGGTTAGTATAGGATGGGATGGGATGGGGTGGGGTGGGGTGGGGTGGCGTGAAGAGATGAGGTGGGATGCTATGGTATGGCATGAAAAGAAATGGCAGGGATTGGTAGGGTATGGTTTAGTGTGATACAATGTATTGATGTCCCTTTCAACACAAATTACTTTTTCAAGAAGCAGGGCATCCGAATCAACATCAAACATCAAACTTTGAAAGGACGGAAAGAGGAAGAGGGGGTAAAAACACCAGAAATTCAAGAAAGCCTTCTTTGGG